CCATAGAGCCTCATAGAGACCCATAGGGACCCATAGAGACCCATAGGGACCCATAGGGACCCATAGGGAACCATAGAGCCCCATAGAGACCCATGGAGACCCCATAGGGACCAATAGACCCCATTGAGCCCCATAGGGACCCATAGAGACCCATAGGGACCCATAGGAACCCATAGGGACCCATAGAGCCCCATAGAGCCCCATAGGACCCATAGAGATCCAAAGGGACCCATAGGGACCCATAGAGCCTCATGGAGCCCCATAGGGACCCATAGACACCCCATAGGGACCCATAGAACCCCATAGGGACCCATAGAGCCCCATAGGGACCCATAGAACCCCATAGGGACCCATAGAGCCCCATAGGGACCCATAGAACCCCATAGGGACCCATAGAGCCCCACACCGCCCATAACCCCCATCTCCCCCCCCAGGCCTGTGAGCAGGACCCGCTGCTGGACGACGCCGTTTCCCTCGCCCGCCGCCTGAGGGCGCTGCGGCTCCCGGTGTCGCTGCGCGTCGTCCCCGCGCTGCCGCACGGCTTCCTCAGTTTGTCGCCTCTGTGCCCGGAGGCGCGCGGCGCCGCCGCTCTGTGCACGCGCCTCATCCGCAGGGTGTTGTGGGGCGGGGACGGGGGGGACGGGGCGGCGGGGGGCCGGAGGGGGAGCAGCGCCCCACAGGGACCCCACATCTATGGGGCGGGGGGGAGGAGGGGGAGCAGCGCCCCTATGGGGACCCAAATCTATGGGGCGGGGGGGAGGAGGGAAAGCGGCGCCCCAATGGGACCCCAAAGTTATGGGGCAGGGGGGAGGAGGGGGAGTGAAGCCCCAGTGGGACCCCGAAGTTATGGGGCAGGAATGGGGGACAGGAAGGAGACTATGGGGCTGCCCCATAGCGATGATTCTCTGCCTCCTAGCAGCGATGCTCTGCCCCATAGCGGCGATGCTCTGCCCCATAGCGGCGATGCTCTGCCCCATAGCAGCAGTGGGGCAGCTCAGCCCCATAGCAGTGGTGCTCTGCCCCATAGCGGCGATGATGCTCTGCCCCATACCAGCAATGGGGCCGCTCAGCCCCATAGCGGCGATGATGCTCTGCCCCATACCAGCAATGGGGTCGCTCTGCCCCATAGCAGTGATGCTCTGCCCCATAGCAGTAGTGGGGCAGCTCTGCCCCATAGTGACGATGCTCAGCCCCATAGCGGCGATGCTTTGCCCCATAGCAGTGATGCTCTGCCCCATAGCGGCGATGCTCTCCCCCATAGCAGCAATGCTCAGCCCCATAGCGGCGATGCTCAGCCCCATAGCAGCAGTGGGGCAGCTCAGCCCCATAGTGGCGCTGCTCAGCCCCATAGTGGCGCTGCTCTGCCCCATAGCGGCGATGCTCTGCCCCATAGTGATGATGCTCTTCCCCATAGCGGCGCTGCTCTGCCCCATAGCAGTGATGCTCTGCCCCATAGCAGCAGTGGGGCAGCTCTGCCCCATAGCAGCAATGCTCAGCCCCATAGCGGCGCTGCTCTGCCCCATAGCAGCAATGCTCTGCCCCATAGCAGCAATGCTCTGCCCCATAGCAGCGCTGCTCTGCCCCATAGCAGCAGTGGGGCAGCTCTGCCCCATAACTCCGGCCCCACATCCCCCCAACTCGCTGCCCCGACCCCCGGCGGGGTCCCCCCGTGTTGTGGGGCCGCCCCCAGCCCCCCCCGGTCGCCCCATAACCGCCGGCCCAGCGGCCCCATGGGGCGCGAGGTTGGATCCTGAGCCCCACATGTGGGGGGCGGCGTTGCCCCATAGATTTGGGGGAGGGGAAATAAAGAGATTCGACCGAGACCGAGAGCGTCTGCGAGGCCAAGGTGTGGGGCTGGGACCCACACATGTGGGGCTGGGAGCTGTGGGGGGGTGTGGGGTGGGACCCACAGATGTGGGGCTGGGAGGTGTGGGGCTGGGACCCATGGATGTGGGGCTGGGATCTGTGGGGTGATGTGGGGCTGGGACCCATAGATGTGGGGCTGGGGTCTGTGGGGAGATGTGGGCTGGGACCCATAGATGTGGGCCTCAGATCTGTGGGGTGGGACCCATAGATGTCGGGCTGGGATCTGGGGGGTGATGTGGGGCACAGATGTGGGGTGGGACCCACAGATGTGGGGCTGGGATCTGGGG